AGAAGAAGTCGTTTGAAGTTTTTGACATATTTGACCCCTGTGACCTTGAAAACAGGTCAAGGTCATTTTCGTTCTCAAACTTTGTAGGGCTCCTACCAACGAAGCTTTCAGCCAAATATCATGACTCTAGGTCTGTCCGTTCTTCAAAAGAAGTTGTTTAAAGGAAAAGTTGACGGACGAGGACGGACGGACGGACAGACGGACGACGGACAGACGACGGGTGCCAAGTGAGCTTAAAATGGCATGCCTGGTAAGTTGACAGCATATTAACTGGTAAACATTGGACATAAACATTTTTAGTCAACATTGCTCAGAATAATTCCAACTGCCAGTTGCAATAAAAATAATAATCTAAACACTTGTATAAAATCATAGATCATGAACAGGAATTTTTTAAATATTTTCGTAATGTAAAGTACCAGTACAGTTTAAGTATTAGTTCACAATTGGTACAATATTATACAACATAATCGTCAAAAACTAAGAGATACTTGACTTCGATTATACCCAGGATTTTACAGTCGCCATGCGGTGAAAATAATCACAAGCATTTAAAATTCTGACAGTAAATTGAGATATTTATCATTTCAAGATAAGAGTATTACTATCTATAGTAATTGACTAATCGTCCATATTCCTTTATAAGATATAACGTTATAGGTCTATCAATTTACTGTCAGAATTTCAAACGCCTGTGAAATAATCGGTGACTTAGTGGCACAAAACAGCAACACGCCTTCACCTCTGGACTTTTTACAAAACCTTTTAATTGAAATAACTATGGAAACAACATGGCCTTGCTCCTTAAGTTAATTTAATCAACGTATGATGACCTTAGTCTTACCTAGTGTGCGAAAATCCAGGGGAAACTGGAGTTGTTGACATGCTGTCTGGCGAATGTTCAAACTCCAATTCCGAGTGTTTTAATCTTCCTTTCATCGATTGGTGTGCCTGTATATCGACAGACACGACAGTGACATGGTCTTTTTTCGCACCGAAGCCATTCCATGCCATATGTTATAAATTGACTTCCGGCATGATCGGAGCAAATAGAGGAATAATTCTGATTGGACGAAAAAAGTCCCGCAGCGCAAAATACGCTGCAGAAGAAAATGGAGATGGAGAAATTTTCAAAAGACGGCAGGAAGGTTATCGAAGCTGAAGGTAAGAATCTGATTGGGATTTTATGAAATACTTGTATAAAATGTTAAAGCATAAGCTATGTGTAATACTACATTGATATCGATACTGAAAATTATACTTAAGAAAACAGAATTGAATATATTACTGAGTGCTAATGGTTACTGCACCAAATTACGAAACGTGTGTGCGTGTGCACCCAATCCCACCCCGCCAAATTTAAAGTTTACAGTATGAATGCTCCTCTTGAGATAGTTCTTAACTTGCATTTAATTTGCAGATACAGTCGAACCTCGTTATCTCGAACTCGTACAACTCGAAGACCCCGTTTTCCTCGAAGTATTTCATCGGTCCCGGCCAAAACTCTTCTTAATCTTACTAATAAAAACTCTGATAATTCGAACTCTGAAAACTCGAAAAACTCGGATATCCCGAAGTGAAACATCGGTCCCAACAACGTAAATCCTACATAAAAATATCTCCTACCTCGAATTTTCTTAAGATTCACAAGTCTATCATCTATTCTTTAATTATTAGATACATATTAGACGCAGTGCTACGGTAAACATCGTTCTCATAGAGCAGCTTACGCTCGGTCATAATTACTTCGATTAAACTTATGGCATTAAAATGTACAAACTTCATCAATGTTGATTAACAACAATAAGTACTTACTGCGAGCCCGTAAACAATTTGAATGGCACTTTATTTAAACCAAAGCTGCCGACACATTCTAACCGGAAAATGGGTCACAGTGTGCGGTCATGCGTAAATAAGCTCCACAGTAAAAATCACAACCTAGGACTGGTTCGTTGGTTTATGTTTTTACAGGAGCTTGTATGGCATTGATAATTAATTGGGAGATTATAGGAACAATACGATAATTATTGTTGACTACGTCGTGTTGAGGAGATGTCAAGTGTCATTGGGGTCTATAAATGTGGATATGTTTCCTGATTAACTCATACCCATTTCGGAATGTCGAAATCAACTGAGCAATCCAACGTGTACGCTCCAATACAGTGATTTGTATAAAGACTTGCGCACTTTCATTTCCGCATTGAAATTTCTATCAGCATAGCACGAGGTCGGAGACAGCATGTGTGTTTATTGTAACATTAATTAATTAATGAATATGATTATGAATAAGTTGTTTATTTTTTATTCTATATAGTTATTTTTTTGTCATTTATCGACTGTTTAAATACGTTGATTGCCAAAGAAATCAATAACATATATAGCCTCATATTGGAACTTTACCAAGCTTTATGCCAAACATAGGAACTCGCTTAACCCGAATACTCGGATAACTCGAAGTTTCCCAACGATCCCGTCGACTTCGAAATAACGAGGTTCGACTGTAGATAATATATAATTTCAATAAAAATTACTGTCCCACTTGTGTGATATCAAAGACCCCCCCCCCCCAAAAAAAAATAAGGTTGATGTACAGGGGCTTGAAAATACAGGAAGGCCTATATACTAATTTCTACAGTATTTTATAAGATTAATGAAAAATTAATAACTTTTTTCTTATTCAGAAAATGGGATTACTTCAGAAATTCTCCTAAAATTTACTGACACGGACATCAGAGATGCATTCGATTGCTTGATGGATCGTTTTGAAGTGTGCCAGATACAGAGTCGTCATGCTTTGCTGACATCGACACAAACAGGCAGTATTATTAGCAGCCAGGACCTGAAGATGTAAGCTTTACAAGATCTTCAAATGATAATTAAAGCATATGTGTACAAGCTCAGAAGATAACACCAGCCTGCAGGATGACAGTGATGTGCAAAATGCAAAGATATACAGCAAAAGATTTGCTATTGAAAAAGGATAAAAGAGGAATACCTAAAGCACCACAACGGTTTTTCAGCAATCTCATGCAAGATGCGGCAGACGCTGTCAATATTTTAAAAAAAGCTCTCCCTTTGCACCAAATATCCTCGGAAAATAACAACTGTTTTTTAAAAATGTATTAACAGTGACACCTCAATTAAGCGGAGCCAAAAGGAGGTATGGCAAATACTAGGAATAATTTTGCAAAACAAAAGAAAATATCTTTTTGATAAAAGTTTAGGCAACAGAAGTTCTACCAAGAAAAATGACAACAGTAATAATTGGAACGTAAACAGTGTGGAGCCTGCAATTGGAAATAAAGTGTTTGTTACTGACAAAACAAAAACTTAATCGCTTGGTGAAGGAATTATTATTTCCGATCCGAATTCCAAATTTGTTGAAATAGCTTTGAACAAACTGCGATTTAGATGAAATAGGAGACGAACATCGGGAACTTCAAACACCATCGATTGTTACATGGAGAACGGATAGACTCGCAATAAGTAGACTGGGTAAAAAGAGTGCAAGTTCTACAACGAGGAAACCAGCATATATATGCATATACAATACAGATAAATTTCAAGAGTTTTGGGAAACCTGTATTCTAGCAACTCTGTCCTAATAATGTCGGCTGTATCTTATTCTTGAAACCACACAGATCATATGTGAACCATGCATCCATATTTTATATTTAACAATGCTAAATTTGTAGCAGTAAAAACTTTTGCAAATATATATGTTATTCAACTGTCATTTTTTCATGTTTAAAAGATATCTGTGACACATGTGACATGTGGGTAGATTATATTACAATTTATTGACAAGAGTTAACGTTACTTGTATTATTTCTAACTTTAAACACAGCTGGAATTATTATATATACCGTCATAACTGCATATTCAGAATCTATTGAATGTCCATTATTATTGTTATTGTCATATAAGTGATTACAATTTGAATTCCAGTGACCACAGGCTAGGTATTTCAGTGGAAATACCACTGGATTCCACTGGGAAATTAGACCATTATTCCACTGGATTCCACTGGGCAATTTGGCCTGGAATTTCCAATAGAATTGATCTGGATTCCAGTGGAAATACCACTGGATTTCAGTGGAATACCAGCAGAAATTCCACTGGGCAATTTGGCCTGAATTCCAGGCCAAATTGCCCAGTGGAATTTCTCATGAAATGTGGTAATTTGTACATGTTCATGAAAGTTCATGAATATTTCAAGCATTTTCCATTCATGAACTTAAAATGGGACATTTTCTTCATGAACATTCATGAAAATTCATGAATTGTTGCAATTTTTCATGAATGTTCATGAATTCATATATTCATGAATATTCATGATTTTATATTCATGATTTTCACATGCTTTCATGATTCATGAATCTTCATGAAATATTTTGCTCAAGATTATTCATGAAGTTTTAAGTTCATGAATTTCATGAAAATATATTCAGGACCAAATCAAGAACATTCATGAATATTATTCATGAATATTTCATGAACTGTTCATGAATTTTCATGAATTATTCATAATCATTTCGCAGGGGTAGCCTGTTTTAATTGTGTTAGTTCTGACATCCAGTTTCTTTTGTTTTTTAAGTTTAATAAAATCTTTATTTGGGAGATGGAACCATTCTCAAAAATATCATCAATTAGTAGTATACCTGAATTTATCCAGTTGGTAAAAATCAGTACTTAATTTTTGATTTTGATATGTTTGTTTCCCCATATTGGTTGTTTTCTTACTTCCAGCTGATTGATATAATTTTTCGTTTGTTCTCCACCCAGTGTAATCCAAGCTTTGATAACTTCTTGATAAAATAATGGTGTTTCTTTTATTTTTGGTAGAGATTTAATTTCGTCTAGATTCATTTTTAAAATGAGCAGGTCTTTCCCATATTTGTTTAAAAAGTAGTTTGGTATGATTTTCCAGTTCTATTATTACTTTTTGGTGAATTGTCAAAGATTGTGCAAGGTATGTAAATTTGGGTGATATAATACTTTTAATAATTACTGTTTTACCAATAAAAGTTAGATCTCTTCTTTTCCACATATTAAGACATATTTTTGTATTTGTAATTTTTTCATCCCAGTTAAGCTTTTCACATTCATTTTTATTATTATTGAAATTTACCCCTAATGACTTTATTGGTACTTCTTGCCAGTTTATTACGCTTATCTTTCTTTTAGAAATTTTTAGTTTTCCAATCCAAAGACCATCAGTTTTGTTTCTATTGAATTTTAAGCCTGATACCTCCCCAAATTCTAATACTATTTGCAACGCTATTGGTATGCGGTGTGGTGAACTTATAAACTGGGTGGTTTCATCTGCTAACTGGCCTATTTTTTGTTCTTTCAAAGACCCCTCTACTTTTATCCCTCTTAAATTGTTGTTATTGCAGATTTTAAGGCCTAGGATTTCAACTATGGCTACGAAAATTAAGGCTGAGACTGGACAACCCTGCCTTATGCCTCTTTCTATTTTATTTTTTTTAGATTTCCACCCATTGTTTAACATACAACTAGAACTATTTGAATACAAAGTGTTTATCCATGAGATGAAAGAGTTATTAAATCCAAATGTTTTTAAAGTTTTAACCATAAAGTCCCACGCACGTGTGTCGAAAGCTTTTTTGAAATCAAGGAAAAGGATTGCCCCCTCTATATTTAATTGGTCTGCATAATCAATGATATATTGTGTTCGACGAATATTATAACCGATATATCTATTTGTTAAGTAACCTTGTTGATCCAAGCTAATGATGGATGGTAATACTTTTTGAAGACGTTTTGCCAATACATATGCTGCTATTTTATAATCAAAATTTGTTAGTGTGATCGGTCTACAATTTTCTAGTAATTCTGGGTTTCCTTTTTTATATATGATTGTTATTGCGCCCTGTTGTTGTGAGGCTGATAATTTAGTTTTTGTATAACCTGCATTTAGTTATTGTATAACTATGTCTTTAAGCTCATTCCAGAAAGTTTCATAAAATTCTGCTGTTATACCATCTAGCCCTGGTGATTTATTTAATTTCATATTTTTTACAGCGTCTGTACATTCTTTTACTGTAAGTGGACCGTCACATAGTTTACTTGTGTCTTTATTTAGTTTATTTTCCAAAACTGTATTGCTTAAATAATCGTTTACTTTGGTGGGGTCTGGAGATTGTGTGGTATATAGTTTTTTTTATAGAAATCATGCCCTACTTTGAAAAATCTCTGATTCTTTTGTTATTGTTTTACCCTCAACATTTAATTTTGTTAAAGATTTTCTCATCTGTCATTTGTTCACTAATTGGAGAAAATATTTGGTGTTTTTTTTCTCCCTTCTCTACCCAATTTTCTTTCGCTCTTATTTGGGTGCCTTTTGCTTTAAATTCATAGATGTCTCCTATTTGTTTTTCTAGATCTATTCTTTTGTTTTCCATAGCCCCATCATCAGTGTGATTAGTCTGTTCGTTCAGTATTTTTAGCTATCATTCTAGTAGGTTGAATTTGTTTTTCCTTTCTAGACTTTTCTTCATGCCGAAATCAATTAATTTTTCTTTAATTGTGGATTTACATAATTCCCATCTTACTTGTATATCTTGTACACCTCTGTCTATTGCATGTAGCTAGGTATTCATAAATAACCTGTTTTATTGTTTTGATATACTCATCATCAGTTAGGTAGGGATTATTCATTTTCCAGAGGATCTACCTTTTGTTGGTATAGTAAGGTTTAATTTTAACGAGATAGCCATGTGATCTGTATGTTTTATAATTGCAGGTCTTATGTCGCATGTATTAACAATAGGTCTGATATCCTTGCTAATTAATGAGAAGTCTATTCTACTTTTCTCGGACCTGTTTTTTCTTTTCTATGTAAATTGTAACTTGTTTTGATTAGTTTGTCTCCAAATGTCAGTTAGTTTATTTTGTTTAATGAGCTGCGTTAAGCTGTTGGTAGTTGTGTTTCGTTTATTTATGTTAGTTTTTCTGTCTATTTGTTTTAAGGTGTTGTTGTAGTTACCCTCTATGATGAGAGAGCCTTTTGCTTCAGATTTCATAACTTCATTGATTCTTTTAAAAACATGTTTCTGTCTTGTGGGTTGTTCGGTGCATAAATATTTATCAGTGTGTATGTTGTTTGATCAATTTGGATGTTTATGAATACATAACGACCATTAACATCTGTATGTGTATTTACAATGTTATAGTTTACTACTAATCAGTATTGAAGCTCCCCTACTGTTACTTGTGCCGTAACTGTCTATAGTGTCCCCTTGCCATTCAGCATATCAAATTTTGTCTGATTTTTGTGCGAAATGTGTTTCCTGAATGAAAGCTATGTCTCCTTTTTGATTAAATAAATATGTGTATAAACGATTTCTTTTGTTCTTTTCTCCTAGTTCTTGGGCATTAAGTGACAGAATATGGACTGTGCTTTTAGATTGGTGATTAGGGATGCATGTTGTGAGTGTGTATGATATTTAGACTATAGACGTGTAGGTATAACCTTTTTTCAATTTGCTTTACATATATCGAGACATACTTAATTATGCCTTGAAAATATTTGATCTTGAACAAATGGATGTAATACTGAGATATTTTTTGAAGTTCACTTACCAACATTTTCAGGATCAAGACAGGTTGAATTACATAACAAAATGTAGGTACAGTTGTCATTATAACTGTAAACTTACGTATCTCTTCATGTTTGTTTACCTTGTACCATATTTTAAATGCATGTAAAACATTTATCAGTATTATAATTTCCCATACCGAGACGTACCTACGAACGTCTGTATGATATGTGATTTTAAGTACATACATGTAATGTTGAGATTCATTTTTTTGTATAGTTACAACTTTCTTTAAATTCAAAACTAGTACATTTAGGTAGTACATAATTTTGGATACAAGTATGTACAAACTACATGTAGTAATAGTTTGTACTCCTTCCCATAAACGTACATGTACATGTATATATCTATATACACACTTATGCAGACAACCAAGGACAATCTGTCACCTTTGGAACGCAAGACACTCAAATCCCCGAACAAGAATTCCACAGAAGTGGATGTGTCGCCTGCGCAGGAAGCTGGGAGATTATGAAGAAATAGATACACTTTTCATTTCAAGAAATAATGTTAAAAGTAAGCAATAATCATAGATTATGTTTTTGGATGGCATCATTTTGTTATATTATCTGTTATTCCGGGAAGAATAACAGATTAAATAATCTATCCCAGGAAGTCACCAGCCAAATATTATAATTTTATGCCTTTTAATTCTTCAGAAGAAGTAGTTTGAACCATTTGACATATTTGAACGCTGTGACCTTGAAAATAAGTCAAAGTCATTTTCATTTGCAAACTTTTTTTGGTTCTTTCCTGGCCAAATATTAAGGTTCTATACCTTCCAGTTCTTCAGAAGAAGTTGTTCTAAGCATTAGACATATCTGACTCCTGTGACCTTGAAAGTAGGTCAAGGTCATTTTCATTCACAAACCTTGTTGGGCTCTTTCCCAGGAAATAACCAACCAAATATTAAAATTCTATACCCTCCAGTTCTTCAGGTAGCAGTATACAGTAGAAATGGCCCAACTCTGATAAACAAGGCACATGTCGAGGAAATGTAAACACAGCGGATTTACCCTACACAACACATGTATATATATATATGTATTTGTAAACTGCATTACATTTACAATACATATAAAGTACTGAGAAGTGTATAAACTTCTTTTTTCTATGAATGTCACTTGTGTGAAAATCATGGTTACCACATAAAAAATTACCAAAAAATGCCAAAAATTGCTATTTTTAACCCAAAATTTGAGCCCCGCAACTAGAATTTTTTTTCCTAAGCTCTGTCCAAAATTAAAGATTACCTACCTGGTTGCAGAATTATCTGGGTCCCAGTTAAGTTGTAAAACTTGATTTTTTGCTATTTCGTCGTGTGCTGTTGTCAAAATTTTACCTCCTGTAAAGCTAGCTTTTCATGTGTAGCACCCTTTCAGATTATGGCCAAATTTTTATTCTCGAACCAAAAAAATCATCTTTCTTTTTCACAAATGTGAAGCTCACAAAGCCCACTTCATCATGCTTATACCAATTTTAGTACAGTTTTATTTTTATATTTTTTTTACATATCATTATACAGGGGTTAGCCATTTAACAAAAATATCACCCATGGCCACAACCCTCTACTGTATACTGCTACCTCAGAAAAAAATGTTTGAAGTATTTCACATATCTGCCTCATGTGACCTTAAAAGTAGGTTAAGGTCATTTTCATTCTCAAACTTTGTTGTGGTGTTTCCCAGGAAGCTACAAGCCAAATATTTAGGTTCTATAACTTTCAGTTCTTCAGAAGAAGTCGTTTTAAGCATTAGACATATCTGACTCCTGTGACCTTGAAAGAAGGTCAAGGTCATTTTCGTTTTCAAGCTTTGTCAGGCTCTATCCTAGGAAGCCATCAGCCAAATATGAAGATTCTATACCTTTTAATTCTTCAGAAGAAGTCGTTTAAAATTTTTGACATATTTGACCACTGTGACCTTGAAAGTAGGTCAAGGTCATTTTAGTTCTCAAACTTTGTTGGGCTCCTACTAACAAAGCTTTCAGCCAAATATAATGACTCTAGGCCTGTACGTTCTTCAAAAGAAGTTGGTTAAAGGAAAAGTTGACGGACGAGGATGGACGGACGACGGAAGGACGACGGACGCCGCACCATGACATAAGCTCACTTGCCCTTCGGGCAGGTGAGCTAATAAATGAATAAACTTGTGGATTATGATGTTAAACAGCTAGTGTTGTCAATAACATTTGGAGTAAGACAGCATTTCAGAGGTATACACGGTGGGTCAAGTGGTAGATCGAAGCCATCCAGTTTACAGTTTTAGTGAAGTTTCTATTTATAGTAACAGTGACTTTGACCTTTGGACCTGAAAAGCAATCCCAAGCAAGCACTTTTGGTAAGGAAGCACTGCATGAAGTTTGAGTTTGATCAGCCAAAGGAAACTCAAGTTAACGCACGAAAACAGATTTTCTTTTTATAGTAACAGTGACCTTGACCTTTGACCTTCGGACCTGAAAAGCAATCCCAAGCAAGCACTTTTGGTAAGGAAGCACTGCATGAAGTTTGAGTTTGATCGACCCAAGGAAACTTAGGCAGATCTCCTATACTGGCATATCATAGACCTTAACACATTACAGATCTTGTGGTAAGCAGCAAGCTACCTACACCTAACCCTGCTGCGGCGAAAGGCTCTTTCAATACCTGTAACAAGAAGGTGTGCAAACTGTGTCCATACACGCGCTCCACAGTTACATTTCAATGTACAATCAACGGCAAAGTGTATCACATACTACAAACGCTGACATGCACATTAGTCAATGTGGTGTACCTTATTACCTGCCATAAATGCAATTTACAGTACGTGGGCGAGACCTGCACCCAGCTCAATGTCAGAATCAACAACCACCGCTGCTCCATCAAGCAGAACAAACCAGACTTCCCTGTGGCAAGGCATTTTAATATGTCCAGCCATAGTTGGAAAGACATGCAGGTTGTTGCCATAGATCATTGCCCTACATGGGATGAAACGAGACGACGTACGAGAGAACGGTTTTGGATCACCAATCTACAAACCCGCTACCCTCGAGGTATGAACGAACGATAGGCGGTTGCCATCCGCTCACTTTCCTTCCAGGGGGCATTTGACCTAATGATGCATTACTGCACAGTTGGTCTGCTATCTCGCCTGCCTGCTGCTTCATGTCAGTGTGTGTGACCAACAGGCATTGTCAGATTAATTTTGCAGATTTATACAGTATCTTAGCCATTTCATCTACTTATTCCTCCTGCACTCACTTATTTGATAATTACTTGCATTATTCCTGCAAACCAAAAGAGGCGACTAAGTGTGGACCCCCTGCTGTGACTGTTAGATCCATCGCAGTATTGAGAGGCGACTAATGAGACATTTCGTAGCAAATTGGAGATTTTTCACATTTACCGGGCCAGATTTCCACATGCACATGTTCCACGTTTTTGATATCTCTCGTTGACTCACTTTATATGATAGCACATCTTGCGCAAGAATAGGTCCTCTACATCAGCGTTCCTTGTCCACGATGCTCTCGGCTTAATTGCTGCCCTCGGCTGTCTTTAGCTGAAAATTTGACAACCTAAACTTGTCCACACTGTTGGAATTACTTCTTTGCCCAATCGATATACACACATATACATGTATAATAACGAAGATTCAAGTTTTTGTTTCATACAATGATTGTCCAACTCGTACTATACTTCGAGTACAACGTTTATCATTAGTATCGTCATATTCAGTTTCCAAGCGTTCATTTTTGTGTAACTCGTTGTCATTCTCATTAGTCCATAAAACGGTAAACAGTTCAATATAACCAAATAACAGGTTAGACATGGTAGCGGATCAGGGTCGACTGCTGGTACCACTTGCCTTTCATGTATTACCGGTGGTTGGTGGGCCTGAGCCTGAGTTAACCTTTGTTGTTGTGTTTAGCACTTCACTTGGGGTTGGTGGGGTCCGGCCTTGTCTTGACTTTTGTCCAGGTGCTTTGGTGGGTACAAAGGACGGTGTCGCTATCTTGATGGATTTACCCGTTACAATGCGTCTGTTTCCTGTGGACACTTTGATTTGACGACGCTCTGTATGTGCATCACTGTCAGGGATGAGCGCGTCATTATGGTTCTTAGGATATTGTTGTTTGAAGTTTTTAACATATTTGACTCCTGTGACCTTGAAACTAGGTCAAGGTCATTTTTAAAGAGTAAAGTTTATAGCACTCCATACCAGGTACTGACTGGCCGAATATCATGATCCTGGGCCTTATGGAACTTGAGAAAAAGCATTTAACCCACGTTGACATTTGACCCCCAACAAGCACTTAAAGTTGACCTTTGACCTCATTACTGTAATTAAGAAAAAGATTTGCACTGCTGGTATACATAATATTACTAAGTATGATGACTCTAGTCCAAATGATTCTTAGGATATTGTTGTTTGAAATTTTGAACATATTTGACCCGTGACCTTGAAAGTAGGTCAAGGTCATTTTAATGAGGAAACTTTATAGCACTCCATCCCAGGTACCTACTGGCCAAATATCATGACCCTAGGTCCTACAGGTTTTCAGAAGAAGTCGTTCAAAAGAAAAAGTTGACGGACGGTCGACAGACGGGCGACGGACGACGCAGTACGGCATAAGCTCACATGGCCCTTCGAGCCTGGTGAGCTAAAAATAAAAATCAAATGTAGGCTCAGTGATGCAATATATTGCTAATTAAACATTCACCGTAATTCATGTTTTATAACAAATATATATATATATATATTT